AGTGGAAAATTGTCGGTGTTATCGAGGTGGAACTCGTTGTTGAACTCGTTGTTGGTCTGCAAGCAGAGTAGGGCACAGTTTTCATATTAAGTTTTTTCCTGATATCCCGTGGAACGTGAGATTCGGTGAAATTCATGAGTGGCTGTACCATTAAGCAAAGCAGTGTATATCTTTTAACCAGTGATTTCCTACAGCAGAAAAAAATAATGCCACGCCCCTATGTTTATGCTGTAGTGGCTGCACATTATAATTCCCGATTTTTTAATGATGATGAATTCCAAAAATCTTTTTCCTCCATACGACCACAAGAATGAAATCTGCTTTCTTCCAATATTTCCCGTTATCATCTATGCCTAAGATTTTTTATTCTTACATTTTTATGTGTTATCTATCTTCCATTAATTTTTTGCGCGAATTGTACGGCGCCTGGTCTCGTTAGGATCAAACGAGAACGTCTAAAGATCATTCTACCACCCTGGCCCGGCTCTTCACGCGGTACCTGCAGGAATGCAAAGCGCCCTCCTCGTGGAGAACTAGCAAGACCTGGTTGCTGTATAAGAAGGAAGACTCGGACGGCATCACCAATCATCAACCAATCTGCGTGCTGTATGTGATCTATTAACCTTTTACACTAGTCATTCTTACCAGGATTGGCAGAATATTATATGAAGGACAACCATGCGAGCAAGCAGGGTTTCGGGAGAGGTAATCACAATCGATTACATCCACACCTTAACAGGACTCATTGAAGTATCGCGAAAGTACAAAATGCCGTTATGTCTTACGTTCATCGATTTGAAGAAAGCGTCTGATACCGTTGAGACAGAAATTGTGATCGAAGTCCTGAGCAACCAGGATGTCCCTTCTTGCTTCATGAAACCTACGACAACTTCACGATCACGATTCCACCTATCTATAAGGGAACCATTGTCAAAGTAAAGAGAGGGGGTCAGCAAGGCGATCACTGCCTCTCTCAAGAGCATCAGGTGCCATATGAAATGGGAAGACATAGCAGTAAAGGTCGATGATCGCTAACTTACATCGTCTCCGCTTTGGAGATGGCATCGTGCTTATAACATCGAACATCGAGCAGGCAAAACAAATCTGGCCAAATTCGACAACGCTTGTGGAAAGATGATATTACCACTGAACCTAACGAAGACGGTAATCATGCGAAATGGATTGGTACCTGATGTTCACGCTGAACGAAAGGAACATCTCTGAATACATTAGCTAAATGTATATGTGTCGCGAAGTCAATATAGCCAGCAACTTAGCACCGGAGCCACGAATTTCAGGTGATATCGGATTCTAGTGCGGACAGACAGACAGACAGACCCAAGCGCTTTATATTTAGTGAGGATCAGTCGGGTCGCCCGGCTTGCGCCGGGCCTCATTTCTAACATTTACAAAGTAGTTAGAAAATGTAGTTGGGGTGGGGGGGGGGGACCGCTTTTATTCAACACTGAGAGTTTGAGTGCAGAGAAGGAGGGGTAGCTCACCTTACCTGTGCTTCGAGTGGCTTTAGCGGAAGAATATATTTTTAATCTGAGCCCGAGGAGGGAGAACGCCGGTCTGAGATGATTCCACGTGAAAAAAGCTAGGATGGGGAGGAATTGAATATTCAATTGACTCACCTTGTATAGACTTAAATGGCACGATGCCATTACATAACGGAATCACAGCTTCGGAATATCTCTTCACATATCTCACTTCACTCCGCAGTATTTACCCCACTCCATTAACCTACCCACCAAGTTACTGCTTCATGGACAAGGAGGAAATGTAGAATAGAGCTGGGTTCTCCATATCACTACACTCATCGTAATCACAAAGTTTTGCGGACCGAGAGACCGACAAACCGACACACCAATTTACTGCTTTATGAATGAAAGACTTACAAAACAAAACCGTTGAGGTTGGTTTCAAAATCACTAGCTTCAGTCATTTCCAGAAAACGGTTGCTCGGCAATTTTCCTTGTGTTGTTAGGATCTGGTCTACTGACACATTTTCATTTGGGACTTCGATGCACTCGGAGAGAAAATACGTAAGATAATAATAAATGATAAATGCAGTTGCAGTGCAAGAGGTGCAAGCGAGAATTTTTATTTCAGAATAAAAAATTAAATCAGTATTTTTATATCTTCACAACATAAAAATCTACTGGAATCAGGATTTTTTGGGCTCTAAATACTGGGTCACGCCTCGCCATTAATTTCTTTAGAGAACTGTATGTTGCTTTTTTATGAATGCTGAGTCTGTTGAATGGTGGGGGCAAAATTTGTTGTAATGTTCGCTTTCCATATTGGTCTGCAGCTTAGTAGTTTGTTCAGAAGGGAGGGAAGGCTCTGCTGAAAGAGCTATGACTTGGTTATGTGAAGTGCCTGCGAGAAGACGAGGCATGCTTTGTGGATGTGCCAGATAGCTTTGCCTCCCTAAAAGGCAAGGGATGGCACAAGGGAGTGAAGGCCGTCATTGCGTGCGCGAGTGCTCAGTAGTTGACTTGTGGAGCGGCATGGTAAAGGCTGCTTGTTTCTGTAGATAATCAAGTTGATCTCCGCTAAAATTTGGCCGAAACCCCGTTGGGCCATATCCATGGTGAGCACGATACCTATCGAAGAGGCATGGTGTTGTGGAGGACCTATTTGTGAATTTTCAACAGTTTTTCAAGATTTTCTTAACTTTGGAGAACTAATCAGCGTTTGCGCTTCCATTCTTATTTTCACGTATGCTGTTGTTCCATTGTCTGTGGATCGATTGGTTGTTTGGGAGAAGGCTTTCAACTATGTTTCTGATTTTCGCTGTGATTGAGAATCCCCAATTCTTCCTATTCTCCGTCCGAACGGATTATTTATTGAGCGACCTTCTCCGTAGAAAAAGCAGTCCAAATAGGAAATATAGTTAGAGTATTATTACGCCTCAGTGAATGGTAAATTTCGAATTTATTATAATTCTGCGGAGAGTTTTGAAATAGGATAAAGACTGCTCTCTGACCTCTTTATGTCACAGTAACGCTAGTAGACTGCAGGGAATCGCAACCAGCTGATTTATAGATTCGATGATCGCTCAATATGCATCTAATTTTTTGCTTTGATGTCTTTTAATATCCTTAGCATGTTTGTAGGTATTTTTCTGATTTGTCGATACTCCTTATTTGAATAACAATGGAGAAGTTTTGGGATATTGTAGAAGAACTTTATGGAGCTCCCTCACGATCTCGTTGGGGTTTGATCTCATGAGCAACGGTACCGATACTTGGGAACTCTTGTCCATTGCGCTAATTGTGTCCTAACAAACTCCGAAGAAAGGAATTGGCGTTAGAAAAGTGGGCGGGGCCCATTTCGGGCGGGGCGCTGTATGGCCAGAACACTCTTGGATAGCTTACCACCTAGGAGTCGCTTCAGAATGCCCTCTTTTAACCACAACTCCTACGACCTTACTTTCTTTTTAAGAATTTGAAGGGGCTAATTCGTAAATAAAAGTAGAATAAAAAAAATAAACAATGTATTATGAGAATTAGAACAAACATTCTAATAGTTATAGTGAACAAGTCCACTCATTCTTTTTCTTCAGGGCAGTACTTTACGGAGAATAAAGATTCCATCCACGGATATGTTCTGTTGTCCCTATCGAGAACCCATTCATGCCTGAATTCTTCCTCGATTATTAGTTCCGTGTATATTTTGTGACGTGTGAATGTCTCCTACGCCCATCTGACTTTTTCGCAGACTTTTCTGTTCTCAGTGGTTCTTATAAAGCAAACGATTTTCAGCTATCGCGACTCCTAGGTTAGAGTGTTTTTTGTCGTGCATTTGAGTGTGATCTTACAGACTGATCACTGATGTATTTCATGACGACGCGTTTCTTTAGGCCCTTCTTTAGAAATACGAGGTCATTCACGGTTTACGATATCCTCCATTTCCTGAGCGATTCCGGTGACAAGGCTTTGCTTCGATTTGGACCGTTTTCTGAGCCCGGGACCGATTATGTCGAACAGAGTCGGTCCGGTACTTTCAAGTTCACCCGACTGTCTATTTTGATGAACATTCTTTTCAGTCACTGCTGCCACTACCTCTCTTCCTTGCTTCCTCATAATTGCCCCGTTCAATTTTGCATCCATATTCGTTTTATTGTATCTCATCTCCTTAACTTAGACGAAAAAATTTTGGGTTTTTACCTTATGTATAACCTGTGCATCGGAATTTCTTTTGATTAAAGAACCCTCCATATCTCGAAAGTTTTCGAAGGCCAGTTTCTCGTTCTCTGTCGGTCCCATGAATCTACGACATATGTAGCTACATAGCTTACTCGTCAAAGCGTCATCTTCACCGTTGACGAGACAGTGCGTGATTGATTCTAAGCTTTTCCATTTTTCTAGAGATTTCTTCTGTGACAATGACATTCGAACACTTGTTGACCTGTTGAATGACCCACTAATGTACTGAGCTCTCTGAACTAGTCTGCGAACTGTTTGGGTTGTTCTTCGACGTTCCCTTTCCCTGTACTAATTTGTGCTTGTTGGAAGAGGGAAATGTGTGTGTTGTTAGGTAATGGTACAAATGTTCCATTATTTAAGTAATGGTACAAATGCTCCACTTCCTAACCGGGTGCATGCGTACCGCTCCACGCACGATGAGTGGAATATTTGCAGGAAAGTTTACCAGAAAATTGGATACCTCGATTTTCCGCACTCTACGCGCTGAAATTTCGCTTTCTGGCCTAACTGTGCACCCGAGAAACGGGTGCTATTAATCATCGGAATTGAGTTAACTGATGAACTGGATCAATTCACCAGTTTGATATACGCGGCTAATGTTTTGCCTAGTTGCTTCTAAAGGGACTGTGGTTCAAAGTTGATTGCATTGTAGGTGAACAAGACCATACATCGATCACGAGCAAGTAACTTCCCATTTTTGAGAATTACGGATTGCCGGCGCACCTGCTTGAGGGCCAAGACCATCGGCATTATGATTTGCTGGGTGCTGTGAATCGTTGTGTGCTATGGTGGTTCTCTGAACATCGTTATGCCGATTGTCTGCTCTTCTGTTCGGCTCTGATCGATTGTTGAATTCAGCTGTACTGTCTGAGTGCAGCTGTAGTCGTCATGAATCAGCTGATCGAATGGTTTTTTCTCTTCGACGATCGTATTAACATTCCATAGAACGCATTCGTCACATAATAGCAATTTCATCAGTCTGCCGGCTGCCAAACATCGCTCCACTTTTGTTTTCAATCGAGCAAACAACACGGAATGGCTCTCTTCCCTAGTGTGCATTTGCAATAGAATAGAATGCAATAGAATAATCTTCGGAAACGATTAACAGCAGAGCACAGATGGAATTCTTATGAAAAAGGCTTGGTGAATGTTCTTTGTTGCCTATGTTACCCTAGAAATACGGATGCAACACTCCTGTGGGATTTCCCAGCAAGACGGAGTCCACCCAGAACTTCTCATCCCAATATGAAGGGCATCTTTCGATGGCTCGAATTGGGAACCAGAAACCTTTTATTCTATATTAGTCTGCGTCTTGAAATTTGAGGAAATTCTGAAATAAAATCTACCCACTAGCATCGGGCAACTTAAGTTTAACAAGAGGAGCTTGGGTATATCTCTTTTTTCTCTTCGTTTCTTTTTCTTGATGATTATTAGTAAATTTTTGTCATCAGTATATTAGGTCCGTAGAGCGTGTCTCGGGCGAAAAGCATTCTTGGGATTGGAGTATGAAATCAGTGTAGTATATCAAAGAAGGAAATTTTTAGGAGTAAGCGAGTTCCATCTGAGGGATGCGCATCCACATTCGACTTCACTCAGAATCGTAGTGACGTGATGAATGCCAATGTGGCCTATACAATGACTTGCGGTGACCGGATGTGCAATTCATGCATTTATCCTCGCACACGAGTCTAGTAAAGGGCTGCTGTCATAGTAGGGTTGGAAGGCTTGTTTGGCTTAGTCAAAAGTCACCGGGATTCGAATCCGTGACCACGCTTGTATGGTAGTGCGTCACTTGCCACTACATCACTTTGCCGTCCATGTAGAAAATACATAGTATAACTGTGAAAGAGAATAAAAAATGTACATAAACATCAGCAAATAACGTGGCGCATCCAAAAGTCTCGACAAAGGTCAGTTGTTCTGTTCGTTGTTCATGAAATATAACACTTTCGCACCCATAGATAGCATGAGTGGATCGGCTCATTCTCCTCTCAATCTGTTCTCGAAAATTCGCATGCTTGAAACAGATATGGCTCCTGTTATGAAGCTCTGCAAACCCCTACTGGTGAACACTGGAGAAATACACTACTACTTACCCGCTTCCACGAAACACTTACACGTTGAAAACCCTTACAAGCTGATGAAAAACCTAACTTACACATCAATGATTCTCATTCGCGACACCTCGGATAGAGTTCTGTAGACTTTCACCTGTTTTGTGCTTTCGAAGACGTAGCTAGATTTTTGTCGTGTCATTTTAAGACATGAAACCATCGACATCTTCCTTAGAATAAAACACTTCGTTCCTGCGTTCGATACTGAGGCTGATCGCTCAAAAAAATCGTCTGATATATTACAAGATCCGAATTCGGCTCTCGACAATAATGCCGTAGTTTCTGTCCCGATTACATTTATTGATGGTTACTTCTCGTCTCTAACTAACGCAGTGGGATGTAAGGCTTCCAAATATAAAGGAATTAGAGTCCAGATTTCAGAGAAAGTAGAGTCATTAAGTTAGTGAGATGGTGGACTTTCTAAGGATGACGTGGATAGATTATGAGCACGGGTTATTATTGTTCGAGTGGAAGTTTGGCAAAGTATCATTGTAGCCTTCAGTAGGCGACATTCAACGAAACCTCAAGTAGCAAGAAATGAAAGGGAGAAAACTAGAAAAGGCATATTTTCTAATGATTGACCTTCTCCATACGCATCACCTTTCTGAGTAGATAATTATTCCTTTCTATCAGGAGCCTCAGAATTGAGAGGGATCAAAGAGAAAAAATGTAGAGTGAATTATAATCTTAAGTGACATGATCTAGCAATCAAAGTCGAACAAATCAATTCAGCCTTGTCTACAAGTATGTACGTTGAATAGAGGAAGTCCACAGCAAGTGTAAAGGAATGATGCTGACTCGACTTGAATAATGTCTTTTTCAAGATGCGCCATGCTTTCGACTTCCGCAAAGGATATTTAGAGCACTTGAAAGTGTTTGTGTAATGATCTAAGGGTGGGGAAGGAGGTTTGTTTCATGTACAAATCAATGTTTTAGCTTTTCCGAATGAGTGTTGTGCGAAATTCTGGCTTAAGGGTCTGAAATTCTTACGAAACGATATCAGGTCAATTTGAAAGCCTCCCTTTCCTTCAAACTGTCATTGTTCACGAAAAGAACATATGAATATCTGGCGAACATTTCAGTGCTTCATCGTTGATTCCAATATGTAAACAAAATGGAGAACCTCCTCTGTGAGTCTTTCGTTCTTGAAGATTTTTCTGAGAACTTCCGATAAGATAAAAGGTCCTTGCGAAAGTAACCTCTTTATTTTCGCTATCAGTCGCTATCAGTTTTAGAGCTGCAGTTTTGGCTCATAAAAAATTGTGTTGCTTCTTGGCCTTTCAACACGTCACCCTCGTGGGGGACTCTCCTTCCAGCATAAACAGGCCAATGGCATCGAACTGATAAGTTTCGCTTTTGTGAATACTTTCTGCGTAGGATCTGAACGAAAGTCGTGATTCATTTTTTCCATCCCCTCTAGTGTTCTCCATTCCTCTCTCTCTCGTTCTTCTAAAGTTATTCAAGGTTTCTTTGTTGACTATGAGATATTTCGGTCCTGGATGGCACTCCAACATATGCATACGTCTGCTTGCCAGGGGAACATGATCTGATTTTCCTTTCTTCTAGCACTATTAATCGTTTCTTACATATGTATGGCGAACCCCTTTCTAGCGCGAGATTTGAACAAATCTTTTTTCTTCATCAGACATCATTACATATTTTGTTAGCCGATCTTTCATTTTTTCGTTTTCCATTGCATGGGTTTTGAAATATCTGAACCTTACTGGTAGAGTTCATTTTTGAACAGAGTGGTGTTTCTTTTCTCTTCTCCGTGACACGTCATATTAAACTTATTTCTGACCGGGAATCTTATGACCACTTTGACACTTCTACAATGAGCTCATTCGCGCGTGGTTGAGAATTGATGAGAGTGAAATCATCTGTGGTGTTTATTATCAGAAACTGTCTGTGAATGTCGGTTTTTCCATATCATTTTCTCAGCCTTCCCATTTGTCAAAATTACTCTTCCTTATGGAGCTGCCATCTTTTTTTTCAGAAACCTGACTCGTTTTTTATATTTGTGTGCTTCCTTTCTCGTTAATTTATTGATCCACATGCATATACTAGGTCCTGGGTTACCTTTTTGAGGAAAGAAAGAATTGAAAAGCGAATGCCTTTATTCGAATTAAAGGACACAAAAAATTTCGGACGAGAGCCGATTTGGACGAGTTTGAGAGTAAGTCATCTTGGTCGAGTCGTTGAGAGCTTCTGAAGGTCGGGCGATTTTATTCTCTGATTATTCGAGAGGCTTACACGATACTATTGACCTTCTCTGACTCTGACCGGAACATGGAACTACCACATTTTAGCGGGTCTATAAAATTTCCAAAAAGCGGCACTGACGGATCTGGTCATGAGAGGAAAGTGAGTGCCGTTCTCTGCATTCAGTGCCGACATCTGAAACTTCGAAGAAAATGATAGTTACCAATGAAAATGGTTAGAGATCGCTTTCATCTCACCGGATCGAGTAGATTAATGGATTAGGGTTTGAGGGAGAAGGGATCGTCCGGCCTAAATCAGATTGTGAAAGTGACTGATCGGCAAGCTTACATTCCTCCCCACTACCTTACCTTCTCATTGTCCCACGCAAGCTGATAAGTGCTAAGCTTGGCACGCACACCCAACCCAGACGGACCATCTCGGTACTAACAATTAGCACCGAGGTGGACCGCGTGGGTTGAGTGTGCGAACTTCTCCTCCCTTTTTACCACGTGTCAAGCTTAGCTCTTATCAGTTGTGCTTATCATTTTTATTTTGTTATCAAATCTTGACACCATTCTGACCCCCTCACTAATTTCAATTCGTTGGTTATGCTAGTCTCCTCCTGTATCTAATGAAAACAAATATAATTTTCACATAGATGATTCCATATAGCAACACTTTCTTCTTCAAAAGGCTCGAAAAGTTGATGATCTATGTACATATTTGTCAAAACCAGTTGTTGCGATGGGTTTCTGAGATGAGATGTGCTCCTATCGGAAAATTCGGAAACGGACTTCTCATTGGAACGGCTTCTGCTGAAACTCGAGCGATTTAGCTGCTCTTCTTTTTGGATTTCCACCAGTCTTATTGACCTGCTTTCATCAATTGCTGTCGGAATATTGAAAAAAGGCAATTCTGTATCAGCCTTGCGAGGACATTCCCGGTGCGACAAAGTATTATTAATCTCAGCTGTTTCCGTTGAAGGCACAGTTCACATTAATTCCGGGTAATCCAGATTATGACGAAAAATGGAAGGTCAAAAGGAAAATGGTGCGATGAAGGCGAAGGAACTGCGTGAATCGGTGTTTCTGAAGTGAAGAAAGCTTCGAAAAGTCGTTGAAAAGGGAGCTGGACGTGAATGAGACCGAGAAGAATGAAGAAGAGTGGGGTGGTTAAACGAACTATGCAATGTGGGTCATGTACGTGTGGGTCCTGGTGCAAATAACTGACTACGGTAAGCAAAAATTCATTCACGTATAAACATAAGTAAACAAAAGATACCCTGGTAATAGCAGAAGTATTATAGCTCACCTTTTCAGCCTCGTGGGGTAGGAAATAAAGAAGGGATCGCGGCAGCAAAAAGAATAACAGAGGAAAAAAGAACGGGAGAAAAACATCGTTTCTCTCTTTCTCATTTCTTGGCCATCAGCTGATTGTGTCCTAAAGCGAATTATTGCAACCTGTATCGCCTTGACACTCGTCTGACGTGACATCGAAAGAGAGGCGAGAAGGCCGCGCGAGCCGGGAATAGGGCTTCCACTATGCCGTAGCCGTCGGGTTTTTATGCACGAGAGGGTCCTTATTCTTAAGGGAAGAACTCGGTAACCACTTTTATCGTGAACCGTGCATTTAAGTAAAACATATTCCGTTGATGAGATGATTGGAATGTTATTATACATTGCTTTTTGTGTAGTCGATTTTGAGGGCAGTCGAGAAGAGTGTGGTTTCATGAATTTACCACAA